TTCCACCAGGTTTACTGTTAACTATTTACACCCAATTGGCCTAACAGATCCTGACAAATCCAACATCTTAATACATACATATAAACAGAGAGAAAACTTTTGCTTTTATGTAGAAAGGTTCTTGGGGGAGGGGAAAACAGGAAATGGGGACAAGGGCAGTGTGAGAGGGGGCGTGGTTAAAGGAAAGTTCCTCTGTGTCCCAGAACTGGAACTAAGTACTTCAGTGGATGATACTGGACATCCCTCAGCAGGAAAATGTCAACCCAGGTTTGAGTGAGGTTTTGGATTAAGTGAACAAGTCGATTTAGCAACCAGAGGCATGGTCCTAGAGATAAAAGAAAAACTGTTATGAGAAGCAATAAAGGGCACAGGCCAAGGCAGCCAGGATTTTTTAAACTAGCTGCTCCAAAGGTCAGACACCTGCTACCAAATTCTGGATGCCCCATCTACCAGCTTGAACAGCGTCACTAATGAGACCAGACTGGATGACACAGAAACAACACTCTTCCTTTAGAAATAAACAGAAACCCACCTTTCTCCACTGTTAACAGGTACAAGCCCCACTGTTACGTGAGGTGACTGCTGCCAAGGAGTGCACTTAGTCTTAAACCCTAAAAAGGTTCGGCGATATTTCATCTCAACTTTCTTATTTATCTTGGTAATAGGAAATGAGTGTAGCAAACACACCTACGCCAGTGCCCACTCTGGCAGCAATTCCTAGGCTGATCAAAAGCGGTATTAAGAGGACAGCTCCTTCATAGTAAATACTTGCGGTTAGAGGAACAAGCAGAGATCTGTTATTGAGGAACACTAACACTGGGGGACAGGAAAACAAGAGAGCAAGTTCCAGTCCAGTTGTTGGAGAGGCAGAGAAGTGTTGGTCCCACAAAGGAAAAAGATCCCCTGTTCATGTCAGCAAGTTGTCACATGGATGGAAAACATGTTTAAATGCTTAAGTGCCTGATTTGTTCCTGGTTCATTTTCCCAGGCATTGAGAGTACTTGCCAATGTGGCACTTGAGTGGTTGTTGAGGGGGGAGGGGCTGTTAGCGTAACCTGGGTAACACCTAACAATTTACGTTTATAAAAAAATAAGATGTTGGTGGATAGAAGCTCGCTCTCTCTCCCTCTCTCTCTCTGCCTTTCCTTCTCTCTGTAATTTTCAAATAAATAAATAAATCTTAAAAAAAATAAGATGTTTGTGGATATCTATGAAGAACCAATCAGTAGAATTTTTATGAATATTTGGAAGAAGGCAGATCATCTATATAGTGGAGAGGGTGCTGGGGTATAAAGACAGTAAGACCCCCATAACAAAAACGAAGGGACTAAAGACTCTGCATGTGCTTCCAAGACTGAGTAAGCTGCTCCTGTATCCAAGAATCAAGAGATCAGCTTAGCTGCTACCTTGACACAAACCTAGGGACATTCGTGATGGTGATCGTGATGGTGATGCTGATGGTGAAGGTGAAGGTGGGGGCCTTCCAACCTGGGCCTTCTCAGTCCTCCGTGGCTAGTCCAAGGAGGTCAGAAAGGAGTAATCCTAGGCTCAGGTTGGAAGGAGTGACCCAGCTTCCAGAATCCCCTGATCCCACACACCAGGCATGACTTTGGGAGCTTGGAGATTGGAGCAGTTTCACCCAAAGTCCTTCCTTGCCACATCTGAAGCAAAGACTGGGAGGTCGTGAAGGGTTTCAGTCAGGGGTTCTTTTTTGGTCCCCGTGAAGTGCAGAGGCAAGCAGGTGATATTGAGCCTGATCTTGTTTTAGTTTCTGAGCTCCTATTATTAAAGACCCTGAAGGCAGTTTTTACGAGCTCCTTTTCAGGTACCTGGGGCCATCTTTCAATTTTTGGAGCTTTTTTCGGATACCTGTGGATGCCTATGAAATAAAATGACTGCAGTTAGAGTCCTCCTGCCTCTGTCTCTGGATTGAAGTTGGTGTATTTGACGAGGTTTTCTGAGTTAGCTCATAAAAACTCCAAGACTTTCATCAGTTTTTTGGCTCACTTCTTGAATTTCATCATAATTTACAGCCTTAAGGCTAGCATTTTCATTCTCAGCTTAAGAAATGAGCCACATGTTCTAAATAGAATCAGACTGTTAATTCCATCTGGGGTCATGGGAAGAAAAGCATCTGTTCATGCAGGGTATCACTGTGTGTGTAAGGAGTTGACAAAGGTTGTGGTAGCAACCCAGATACACGTCTTCTTCAGATTTCGTGGAAAAGGAAATAATGACATAAACATCTTGGTAGCTGAGGTCTTAAGTGGGTAAGCTATAGGAATTCCTTGATGTACTGAGTGGGATCCATGGTACAGCAACTCAGATGGTTATCTTTTTTTTTTTTACTTATTTTTTGACAGGCAGAGTGGACAGTGAGAGAGAGAGACAGAAAGAAAGGTCTTCCTTTTGCCGTTGGTTCACCCTCCAATGGCCACTGCGGCTGGCACACTGTGGCCAGCACACCGCGCTGATCCGATGGCAGGAGCCAGGTTCTTCTCCTGGTCTCCCATGGGGTGCAGGGCCCAAGCACTTGGGCCATCCTCCACTGCACTCCCTGGCCACAGCAGAGAGCTGGCCTGGAAGAGGGGCAACTGGGACAGAATCCGGCGCCCCGACCGGGACTAGAACCCGGTGTGCCAGCGCCGCAAGGCAGAGGATTAGCCTAGTGAGCCATGGCGCCAGCCTAGATGGTTTTCAATTTCGGCCAGATTATAAAGAAAGGAACATGGACATGAACAATACCTTGAGCACCAGCCACCCCTTGGAGGGACAGGATGGGGATGGGTAGTGGGGTATGAGCAGCTTGGGCAGCTGTTGTGAGTACGAACAGATAGTAAAAGAAGAGAAGGGGACTGAGAAGGTAGTTGGGGGAAAGTAAGGTTCCTCAGAGGGTACTGAGGGTTTTTTTTGTTTGTTTGTTTGTTTTTGGACAGGCAGAGTTAGACAGTGAGAGAGAGGGACAGAGAGAAAGGTCTTCCTTCCATTGGTTGCTGCGGCTGGCGCGCTGTGCTGATCCAAAGCCAGGAGCCAGGTGCTTCTCCTGGTCTCCCATGCGGGTGCAGGGCCCAAGCACTTGGGCCATCCTCCACTGCCTTCCTGGGCCACAGCAGAGAGCTGGACTGGAAGAGGAGCAACCAGGACAGAATCCGGTGCCCCAACTGGGACTAGAACCTGGGATGCCGGCGCCGCAGGTGGAGATTAGCCTAGAGAGCCGCAGCGTGGCCAGGTACTGAGGGTATTAAGGAGGAGATGGAGGGCAAAAGGGTATTAAGGAGGAGGTGGCAAGGTCAAAGTCAGGCTCAGATTTCAGAAGCTCAGAGATTAGGTCTGATTTTTTTCCATAAGCAGGAGAATCTGATAGGAAACCCAAGACTAAGAGAGAAGATGTCCAACTGTAGGGAATCTCAAACCACGCCCATTACAATTGATGACTTTCAAGTCACAGTGAATATTGGGTCGAAGGACCCATTTTTGGACCACTGACTATCACTATCTAATCTATATTGTAGCTAAACTGAATTGCAGTGAAAGGTCAGTCTCTGGCTTAATTTCTTTCCCGGCATATAGGGTCTTAAGGTTATGGAGAAGCCACCTAAGCAGTGAACCCTCAGGGGTCTCCAGGGTGTGTTCCCCATGTGGAAACGGAGTGGAGGCAATTCCAGAGAGCAGAAAACGGGTGACAGGCAAGTGTCCCTGGATCCCTCACTCCACCCTGAAACAATGAGACCATCTCTTTAACTCCAGGGGCGTCAGAGAGGGCTGGCCAGAGAGGAATTGTACCCAAGGCTAGAGGAAGGACCCTAACCTACTGCTGGGATTTCTGAGGCAGGATGAGGGTAATACAAGGTCCTCCAGAGAAGACTCAAGAACACTCACCTAATGTCCCAGAAATGACGTCAAACGGGCAATGGAGAGGTGATTTCCCATCAATCACCTCTAAATCACCTTTCTGGGTTTTGGCACTAAAAGGTTAGGTTTAAGATGTTGGTCGGAACTTCTTCCGACCGAAGGCACAGAGACAACTGGTCAAGGAAGAAAAGCCTTTGATTTTAGGAGGCCAGCACAGCAGGGTCTCAAGTAAGACTGCATCCCGCCAGAGCGGCCCTTTCAAGCTATTGGCAGGAGAGGGGTTGTTTGCAGCCATAGAAGTTCGAAAGCCCCATTTGGCGACTGCCGACCCATCGGCTCACTTAGAAGATCTGTTCTGGAGGTTTGGAATGTCCCAGGTGGGGAGCTGGAAAAGGAGACTGCTGGGGCAGCATGAATTCCACCAGATTTGGGGTCAGCAATTTATGTCCAACGGCCTAACAGATCCTGACGATCACAACGAAATTCCTTTACCAACCCAAATTCCCATGCGTGTAGCTTAAATGAAGGTTTCCGAAATTTGGATGTACTTGGACTACCAAATAAATAAATAAATAAATAAAAAACCTCCTTGAGGTAAAAATACAAGAACGAACATCTTTAGACTCAATATTTAAAAAAAAAATCTAAATCTCTACATCCTTCGCAAAGCGTACGAACGGGAACTTTGGTCGATTCGCACAAGTGAATGAAAACCCGCCGGTGGCGGAGATGCGCTCCAACAGGGCCCCTCCGTCCTACACGCTAAGTCCCGGGAAATCAGCGTGACCTACAGCGAGCGCGCTCGCCATGCCCACACTGGTCCGGGCTTCACTTCTCCGTCGCAACCGCGAGGAAGCCAAAGCCCAGGCGAGGCAGAGCCCGCCCCCGGGCACAGGCAGCGCGGGACGCCCGGAGCCCGCTGCCGGTCAATCGCTTGGCCCCACCGAGAGGCCTCAGGACACACCCCAGCCCCCCCAGCCGCCCCCCAGTCCTGCCCAGCGCGCCGGCTCGGCTGCTGGGGCCAGCAGCAGTCCTGTCAGGACATGGCGCCGCGGACAAGTGCAGCAGGGGGACGAGGGTGCCCCGCGGCCTGCGGGGAGCCCAGGAAGACTCAGCTCCCCAGAACGCCCCGGACCCCTGAGACTCACCCGACTCGCGGCCGCACCCGCAGAGCTGAAACGGGAGTCACGGACGAAAACCCCGACCCAAAGGCTGACCGGCCAGGAGCCCAAAGCGCGCAGGCTCCCGGAGACAACTGAGGCTCCGGAGCCCTCCTCAGCCGACCGCCCTCACGCCGCCCCGCCCGCCGCTCCTGGGGCGCATGCGCCGCCCCGCCCAGACCAGCCCACTTTCTAGCGCTGGGGGGGAGAGCGAGCGGAGCCAGTGAGACATGCACCGCCTTAATAGCAAAATGAACCAACAAAGTAGTCTCGGCGACCAACCGAGCACACGTTTACTCAAACGGTCTCCTGTATGAAAACGATTAGCGCTGGGACTCGGCGTTTCGCCGTCACACGCACTCCCCCGTACTCGGAACACAATGCAAAGTGCACGCTCCGGGGGCGGGGCTTGAAAGCGGCGCGCACTGCAATTGGAAGCTTTGAAGGCACCTCGGGCGGGAACACCCGCGGCGGAGAGAGACGGCTGGAGATGTGGGCCGGTAAGGGAGCCCCTGGCGGCCAGGGATCGGGGCCCGGAGGGCGGTGAGAGCCCGGAGGAAGCCTGTAGGGCGACTGTCTCGCGACTCCCGCGGGTCTCAAGTCGTAGGATCGGCGCTCGGTTCCCGGCTCGGGGGAGGGGGACTGAGGCTGAGGGGCTGGGGCCGGGGACGCCGCCTGGTCGTGACGTCATCTCCGCCGGCCGGGGGCGTGGCCTTACGTCAGGGACCCGTCTGCGCGGGAGCGGTGCCGCGCGGTCACGTGATGGCTGCGTCTTCAGGGCGCTGAGCAGCGGCGTCCGTGCAGCCTCTTCAGCAGCGTCTGCAGGGACGTTACTTGAAACGGTTTTCTTTTTCTTTTTGGTCGTGAGTTCATTCAGCAAAACCTGTCTAGAGCGCCTGCTTTGCCTCAGGACTCGCGGATCCCGCCGTGTGTTCAGCGTGTGCACTTGAGGCTTACCGATCCAGAGTGGAATTCGGGGTTTTCGGGGTTTCTTCTGGCTCTCCCATCGCGGCTGACAGGCGCAGCCAGAAAACCTTGATGTCGTCTTTGGTTCCTCTCTTACACCCCACGTTTCATCCATCAGGAAGTCCCGTGGGCCTTCTCTCAGCAGTGTACCACTCCCTCCGCCTTGGCTCCTCGTCTCCCTGAGATTGACTTACTTGCAAGGCAAGGGGAGACAGGGGTCTCCCGTCACTGGTTCGCTCCCCCACATGGCCACAAGCGGGTTGGGCAGAGCGGAAGCCCGGATCCAGGTTGCATCGGCCCCCACGTGGGTGGCAGGGGCCCAGGCGCCCCCAGGCACCTCAGCAGGAGGGACTGCGCTCGGGCTGCCGTGGGCTGTGGGTGTCCCAGGCGGGCTGCTGCACCTGCTGTGCCGCGACGCCTGCCCGTCGTGTCTCAGCTCTGCCCAGGCCTGCTCCGCCCCTGCCTGAGCGCAGGAGACCGGAGAATCGTGGTGGAAACCGAAGCGCGAGGAGTCAGCGTCACCTCTGAGAGTAAAAGCAGTTCTCTGCTGTCGCCTCTCTCCGTGTCTGCTGCTCCCCTTCCTGTCAGTCTTCCCCCACCGAGGTACCCCTCCCTGACCCAGGCCGCTTCCTGTCCCGTCGTCCTTGGAGGCCCTAGTGGACTGTGCCCACCAGGGGACTTGCTCCCCGGATTACCTCAGATGCCCTGCGGTGAGGCCTGATTCTCTGCCCCTCCACATTCGGCCTGTCTGTGCCATTTCCTGTCCAGCACATATTTTGTGATGTTCTTATTGTCTGTTTTTTCCTAGTAGAACGAGTGCTCCATCCTGTCGGGGATTTTTGTCTTTTGCGTTAAAGATCGAACTATCCCAAGTGCCTAGAAAATTGCCTAGCATGCATGGGTGCTTTGTAAGGAGTTGCATGAATCAGTGAATAGATGGATGATTTACATAGCCAAGAAAGAAATAGCACTGATTTTAAAAATAAATAAGTAAAACAATTCTAACACATGCCTTAATAAACAGCTTAAGGAGAAAATTAAATCCTTATGCCAACGCACTGTTTGCACAGTGGAGGGAAAAAAGGTAAACATTTCCACGTTTGGCCTTTAAAGCTGAAAATAGGATTTTGAAAAATTAATAGTTGCATTAAACTTTTGCATTTTGTCAATTCCGTGTTGTGCTGTTTTGTTTTGTCAAAGTGCCACAGGGATGGATGAAACTATTGCTGAGTTTATCAGGAGGACCATCTTGAAAATCCCCATGTCTGAAATGATGACAGTCCTCGAAGCCTGGAATTTTTTGTCTGAAAGTCAACTGCAGACGTTAAACTTGCGGCAGAGAAAGGACTCTCTTGCTCAAAGTGTGGTTCTGCTGTGTGAGGTATGGTGAACCTTGAACAACATGCTAGCCCTTTGGCTTTGTCTTTCTCCCTTTCCTTAGTCCAAAAGGGATTTAAGGCAGCTGCCGAACTGAGTGATGAGGGCTAGGTACTCAGCTTACAAAGACTGGTTACAAGTCAATGAGAAAAAAAGTGAATATTATGGGAGGAGAGAAAGGGTCAAAACAAGTTAAAATAAAGAGCAGTATTTTTTGCAATTTTTTTAACCTATTGTCAAAAATAAAAGATAGTAACACTGATACATGTTGACAAAGTTGTGAGGGGAAAAGTACACTTTTTGCATGTGTGTATTTATTTACTTTTTTATTGTAAAATTATTTTGGACTCAGAAAAGTTGCTGGTACCAAAAATTCCCATATTCTGGTATGCTGTTTCCTCATTCACTTTCATATTGGTATATTTTTTGAACTAGCAGTTCCACTTCTGGTAATTTATAGTAAAAATATTTTTAAAGGAGGTATATATAAGTCATATTATACACTATAAATATTTACATAAGTACTTATATAAAGATATGAACTAGCATTGCTTTAAAAACAAAATATGGAAGCAACCATATGCAGGCCACTGGATAAACAATGATCTCTCCAATAACAAAATACTCTTCAGCAGTTAAAAAGGACAAAGTGGGTCTTTGTATGCAACGGTGACAGAACCTGTATCACATGCATATGTGTCGGTATTTACTTGTAAAGCAGTGAGTTTCCTGCAGGGTTATTTTGTCGCCTGAAGGACATAGAGCATTTGGTCAAAACTAGAGGATTGGAGTATTATGGGCTGCTATTGGGTAGAGGCTAGGGATGCCATTTTTTTTTTTTTTTTAATCTTCAAGCAAAGCACTATGTTTGCAGCAAAACTGATACACAGAGGCATTTCTTTCTAGGGATGTTAATGTCGTAGGGTAACCCTCCAGATCGGAGAATTATTTGACCCCGAGTGTCAGTACTACCTGCCAAGGTTAAAAGCCCTGCTGGGGTAGAAATCCAGAAGGATTAGAACCAGGTTGTTAGGCCGGCGCCACGGCTCACTAGGCTAATCCTCCACCTTGTGGCGCCGGCACACCAGGTTCTAGTCCCGGTCGGGGCGCAGGATTCTGTCCCGGTTGCCCCTCTTCCAGGCCAGCTCTCTGCTGTGGCCCGGGAGTGCAGTGGAGGATGGCCCAAGTGCTTGGGCCTTGTACCCCATGGGAGACCAGGAGAAGAACCTGGCTCCTGCCATCGGATCAGCGCGGTGCGCCAGCCGCAGTGCGCCGGCCGCAGTGGCCATTGGAGGGTGAACCAACGGCAAAGGAAGACCTTTCTCTCTGTCTCTCTCTCTCACTGTCCACTCTGCCTGTCAAAAAAAAAAAAAAAAAAAAAGAACCAGGTTGTTAGTCGTGGTTGGCCTGAGAGCATGATGGTGGGGAAGAATCCCACTCTGCATGCTGCTGCACACGCTCCATGTGAAAAATACCATTTTTATATACATACAGAATCCTTACAGAAAGCTGAACGTCCAGATTTGTGTATTCTCCCAAACTGAACACACCCGTGTTCCAGAAGCACGATCCTCACTCCCAGGGACACCAACTACGCTGTCTTCTAGCAGCATAGATTAGTTTTGCTTTTCTACATTGTATAAGTTGAAGCATACTGTATATTCTTTTATGTCTTGCTTCTTTCACTAGGCTGATGGAGCTGATATTCAGCCACATTGTTGCTTGTAGTAGGTTGTTCATTGAGGTTGTTAATCCCATTGTATAAATATGTAATTCATTTATCCACCCTACCTTTGATGGGCACTTTGGTAGTTTCAAGTGTTTGGCTATTATAATATGAACATCATGCGGCTTATGTTTTAGTGAACATATATACTCATTTTTGTTTGATATAAACCTAAGAGTGAAATTACTACTTTCTAGGACATGCATGTATCTTGCTTTGGTATAGTACACAAAGAGTTCTCCACTTTATACTCACCAGCAGTTTGAGTGTAGTCATTGGGTCATGAGTGTGAGTATATCAGGCTTTGGTACAAAACACCGAGCCATTTTCACAAGGAGTTGCACAAAATTGCACTCTCATCAGCAGTCTGTGAAAATTTAGAACCACATCCTTGTCATAGTTGGTACTTTGTGTTCTCATTGTGGCCTTCTGCCAGGTTTGTAGAGATTTTTACTGTAGTTTTGATTTGCATTTCCCTGATGCCAAATGAAGTGAAGAACTGTTTATTAGTCATTTGGATATGCTCTTTTTTTTTAAGATTTATTTATTTATTCGAAAGGCAGAGTTATAGAGAGGCAGAGAGAAAGAGAGTGAGAGAGAGATCTTCTATCCACTGGTTCACTCTCTAAATGGCCGCAACGACCAGAGCTGAGCTTATCCAAAGCCAGGAGCCAGGAGCTTCTTCCAGGTCTCCCATGTGGGCACAGGAGTCCAAGTGTTTGGGCCATCTTCTGCTTCCCCGGGCAATAGCAGGGAGCTACAGTAGAAGTGGAGCAGCCAGGACTCAAAGCGGCACCCATATGGGATGCCAGCACTGCAGGATGTAGCCTTACCTGCCACACCACAGCCCCGGCCCCTGGATTTGCTTTTTTGTTTTGATTTGTTTAATCATTTGTCCATTTTTCTGTTGGAGTATCTTTTTTCTTGCTGAGTTATAGTTCTTCATGTGGTCTGAATAAGTCCTTTGTCAGATAAATAAATTCTTTCTCCCAGTGTATGTTTGCCTTATCACTCTTTTAATGATTATTTTTTTGATGAACATAGGGATATCTGAATTTTTTACATTATATTTGTAACCATGGTTCAACATTTTCCTATAAAATACGGCAGATTAAATAGGCATCTTTTGCTACATTGTGCCAAAACCCAATACCCTAACAATAAGGGGGTATTTTGGAAGCATAAATCTAAGGCCAGAGAGAAAGAGACCATAGCATTTAAGAGATAACCAACAAAATTTAGGATGCTGGAAAACAGAATCAAAGAAAGTAAAAAAATCTAACAACTCTATTCTAACCCATCTTGTAGAAAAGTGAAGAGAAGGGAATTTTTTTTAAGATTTATTCATTTATTTGAAAGACAGAGTTACAGTGAGGCAGAGGCAGAGAGAGACAGAGAGAGGTCTTCCATCCACTGGTTTACTCCCCAGATGGCCATAATGGCCAGAGCTGCGCCAATCTGAAGCCAGGAGCCAGGAACTTCCTCCCATGTGGGTGCAGGGGCCAAAGACTTGGGCCATCTTCCGCTGCTTTCCCAGACCGTGGCAGAGAGCTGGATCGGAAGTGGAGCAGCCAGGACTCGAACTGGTGTCCATATGGGATGCTGGCACTGCAAGTGGTGGCTTTACCTGCTACATCACAGTGCCGGCCCCTAGCTGCTATTGGGTAGAAGCTAGGGATGCCTTTTTTTTTTTTTTTTAATCTTTAAGCCAAGCACTATGTTTGCAGCAAAACTGATACACAGAGGCATTTCGTTCTAGGGATGTTAATGTCGTAGGGTAACCCTCCAGATCGGAGAATTATTTGACCCGAGTGTCAGTACTGCCTGCCAAGGTTAAAAGCCCTGCTTTAAAAAGTCCTAGCAGTTTAGAAGTAGCAATACTTCTAAACTCATTCTGCAGGACCAGTATTCCCCCTGACAGCAAGACCAAGGTAGACATTAAAGAAAACTACTGGTCAATATTTCTTAGGAACATTGATGTAATTATTCTCAGCAAAATTCTGCCAAATTAAATCCAATATGTTCAAAAAGTAATACATTATTACCAACTGCAGTTCATCTTAGAAATGTGAGATTGGCTTAACATTTGAAAGTTGATTATTTTAAATCATCCTATTAACAAATTTAAAATACATATGATCATCACTTACAAATAAAGAATTTGATGAAATCCAGCATCCATTCCTTACGAAAATTTATCAGCAGCCCATGTTGTAGCACAGCAGGTTAAGCTGCCACTTGCGATGCCAGATTCAAGTTCCAACTGTCCCACTTCCAATCCAGCTCCCTACTAATGCATATGGGAAAGCAGCAGAAGATAACCCAAGTCCTTATTCCAAGTCCTTATAGGCTCTTGTACCTAGTTGAGAGACCCAGATGGAGTTCCAGGCTCCAAGCTTTGTCCTGATCTAGCTGACTTTGGCCATGCCCAACCCCAGCCTTTGCAGCCATTTGGGGAGTGAACCAGTGAATAGAAGATCTCTGTCTCTCCCTCTTTCTGTAACTCTGCCTTTCAAATAAATAAATAGATCTTTAAAAATAAAAGAAAATGTATAAAACTAGGAATAGAAGGGAACTCTCTCAAAATGATTGAAGTTATTTACAAAAAGCCTAGAACTAGCATCATACCTGCTATGCAGCATTGAATGCCATCCCTTAAGATCATAAGGGAGGGCAGCCAGGATGTCCACTCTCACCTAGTAGGGGTTGTACTGGGAGTTCTCGCCAGCGCAGTCAGGCCAAAGAAGCCTGGCAAAAAGTCTAATGGAATTTATACTCTCCCAAAAAAGGTGCTAGGCTTAATAAGTTTAGCGAAATTGTAAGATACCATATCAGTATATAAAAGTATTGAATATCTCTATGCCAACAACAGTTAGAAATTGGAATTGTATGCGTGCGTGTGTGTGTGTGTGTGTGTCACTTATGATTGCATTAGAAAGTATGAAATACATACAGATCCATCTAACAAAAAATGTGTAGGTCCTATAAACTGAACCCACAGAACACTGCTGAGAGAAATTAAAGATCTAAATAGAGAGATCCACACTGCTGGAAGTTCAGAAGGCCTGACGTTGTTAGGATGTCAGTCTTTCCCGGGTTGACCTGTGACTGCAGTGCGACCTCCACTCAGACTATAGCAGATTGTTTTATAGAACCTCAGAAGCTGATTTTCAAATTCATATGTGCAAATGCAAAAGACCCAGCATAGCTAAAAAGACTTTTGGGAAACATGAAAGTTAGACAACTCAGACTTCCTGTATTCAAGGTGACTTACACAGTTAAGAGTCACCAACACAGGGGGGTGTTGGCATCAGAAAGAATGAAGCAATAGATTACAGGGTAGATACAGACTCATATATATGTGGTTAACTGATTTTTGACAAAGCTACCAAGGGCAGTTCTGTGAAGAAAAGATAATCTTTTCAACAAGTGATGATGCAATAATTGGATGCCCAAATATACTACCAAAAAATGAATTTCAAACCATCCTCTGTACTATAGGGAAGGAAAAAATTAACTCAAAGTAGATTCAAAATCCAAACATAATACCTAAAACTATAAAACATGTAGAAAGAAACAGAAGAATATCTTTGTGGTCTTGAACTAGGCAAAAGTTTCTTAGGCTGAACACTAAAAGCATTCATAGAAGAAAAAATGATTAACAAATCATATGTTAGCAAAATTAGTACTTTTATTTGAAAGATACTGTTAAGAAAATGAAAAGAAGAGCCAGACTGGTAGAACCTTTTTTTTTTTTTTTTTTTTTTTTTTTGACAGGCAGAGTGGATAGTGAGAGAGAGAGAGACAGAGAGAAAGGTCTTCCTTTTGCCGTTGGTTCACCCTCCAATGGCCGCCATGGCTGGTGCGCTGCAGCCGGCGCACCGCGCTGATCCGAAGGCAGGAGCCAGGTACTTCTCCTGGTCTCCCATGGGGTGCAGGGCCCAAGCACTTGGGCCATCCTCCACTGCCTTCCCGGAACACAGCAGAGAGCTGGCCTGGAAGAGGGGCAACCGGGACAGAATCCGGCGCCCCCATCAGGACTAGAACCCGGTGTGCTAGTGCCACTAGGTGGAGGATTAGCCTACTGAGCCACGGCGCCGGCCATAGAACCTATTTTCAAATAATTATCTGATAAAGAACTTGTACCTGGTATATATGTAAGTGTGTGTGTGTGTATCTGTGTTTTTTTTTTTTTTAATTCTTAGGAGTTAATAATAAGAAAATAACCCAGTTTTTTAAATAGGCAAAAAAGATGTGATAGAATGCACATTCCCCACAAAAAAAGATTTATGATGACAAATAAGAGTGTGAAAAGATGCTCAAAATCCTTAGGCGTTAAAAAAAATGAAGGGGTCCACGTTGTGGTGCTGTGGGTTAAGCCACCACTTGCAACACCGGCATCCCGTATGATTGCCAGTTCAAGTCCCAGCTGGTTTGCTTCTTATCCAGCTCCCTGATAATACACCTTGGGAAAGCAGCAGGAAATGGCTTGGGTCCCTGCCACCCATGTGAAAGGCTCAGATGCAGTTCTAGTCTACTGGCTTCAGCCTGGCCCAACCCTAACCATTGAAGTCATATGGGGAGTGGATGGAAGCGCATGCTTGGCGCTCTCTCTCTCTCTCTCTCTTTCTCTCTCTCTCTGCCTTTTCGCATCTCTGTAACTTTGCCTTTCAAATAAATACATCTTTAAAAACAGAAAAAGAAAAATGCAAATTAAAACCATAATAAGAGATCCTAATACACTTATTTAATGCACTTAGTAGACTGACCATACCTAGTGGTAGCCAAGATGTGGAAAAACTGGAACTCTCATATTGTTTTGGTGGGAAGGTAAAATTGGACAGCCACTTTGGAAATCAGTCTGGCACTTTCTTAAACAGTTAAAATGTATGCTTACCATAGATTCGGCCAAGAGCAATTAAAACATATCCACACAAAGACACAGACACTGATGGTAATGCCGCATTATTCATACCAGCCCAAACTGGAAATAAGCAAAATGTCCATCCGTGGATAGAAGGACAAACAAATTGTGAAGTAGCCATGCAGTGGAATATTACCCAGCAGTAAAAAGAAGTAACAATTCACAGGTGGGAAAAGGGGGATTGATATCAAAATAATTAAGCTCAGTGGTAGAAGCCAGACCCCTTCCCAGTGAAAGAATGTAGGCTTATATTAACAGTCATGTAAAACTATGAAGCATGCAAACAGATCTGTACTGACAAAAAGCAAATCAGCAGTTGCCTTGGGACCAGGGATGGGGATGCGATGAGATGGGAACTAAGAAGGGTGGAAGGGAGGATAATAAAGAGACACGAGAAGAATGGAGGGTGTATTCCTGAGTCAACACCTAGCAAATTGTCCATGTGAAATGTCTGCAGTTTAATGTATGTTAACTACCCCACTAAGATCGATTTTTGAAAAGCAAAGTAAAAAGTGATAAATGAATAAATTATGAGAGAATGGTTGTGAGTGCCTAGACCGAGACATGAAGCAGCAGGTCTGTTGGCTACAAGAATGTAGATTGAGAGAGTTTGTCAGGAAGCACTCGGAGCATTTAATAGTCCGCTCTGACCTTGCCTAAAACGTGCCTTAAGTGGGACAGTACGTGTGGTATACCGCGTATGCTAAATAGTTTATCCTCTCTTTCAGGAGAAGTGTGCCAGTCTCAGCGATGCAGCCCTTCTAGACATCGTTTGTAAGTTTTGGTGATTTTTATTCACACTTAGCTAATCCCTTTCCTCAGAGGTTTTTTTGTCTGTGAGGCTTGGATTTTAGGGTTTGAAGACCTGGCATCTGTCGTTTACCAGTCTTGCATCCTTTGCCAAGTTGCATCTTCTTTCTAAGCCTCTAACTTCCCCTAAGAAAATTGATATAATAATAGTATGAGCTTAACACGCATGACAGCTGGGGTGAGTGTACTTGGAACTGGAGGGAGAGGAGAGCCCCTGCTGTAACGGGGACACTTCAGGGAAGCATGCTTGTCACAAAGATCATGGACTAGTCCAGGACATGTCCTTGGGCCAGTGCCATGGCGCACTAGGTTAATCCTCCGCCTGCGGTGCCGGCATCCCATATGGGCACCAGGTTCTAGTCCTGGTTGCTCCTCTTCCAGGCCAGCTCTCTGCTGTGGCCCGGGAAGGCAGTGGAGGATGGCCCAAGTACTTGGGCCCTGCACCCCATGGGAGACCAGGAGGAAGCACCTGGCTCCTGCCTTCGGATTGGCGCAGTGTGCCAGCTGTGGCAGCCATTTAGGGGGGTGACCCAACGGAAGGAAGACCTTTCTCTCTCTCTCACTGTCCACTCTGCCTGTCAAAAAAAAATATCCTGGACTAGTCTAGGACATGTCCTATATAAGGTAGCAAATGTCTTTATTTATATGTAAATCATTGTCAATTACTTCATAAACTTTTTTTTATTTTATTAAGATTTATTTATTTAATTGAAAGGCAGAGTTACAGAGACAGAGAAAGTTCTTCCATTGGCTGGTTCACTCCAAATGACCACAAAAGCCAGGGCTGGGCCAAAGCCGGGAGCTTGTAACTTGGCAGGGCCCAAGTACTTGGCCATCTTCTGCTGCTTTCCCAGGTACATTAGCAGGAAGCAGGATTGGAAATGGAGCAGCTAGGACTCAAAACTGGTGCTCATATGGGATGTCATTGTTGCAGGCAGCAGCTTAACCTGCTGTGCCACAATGCTGGTCCCTCATGAACTTCTTGTTAAAGATTTATTTATTTATTTATTTATTATTTATATTATGAAAGTTACAGAGGGAAATGGAGAGCCAGAGAAAGAGATCTTCCACCTCCTGATTCACTCCCTAGATGGCCACAGCAGCCATCACTGGGCTAGGCCGAAGCCAGGAGCGTCATCATTAACAATAAAAAATTTAATTTCTGTTTTTGTCGCAGAAACCAATTAGCCAAAAGAGTAAATACCAGAGGGAAAACAAAACAAAACCTCTGGAGGCTGTCTCTTGAGTGGGCATCATGCGGTGCCTGCTTACACATACTTTAGGCAAAACCAGATAATCAATGAAGAATTGTCAGGCCTGTTGCCGTAAGTGGAGGGGCGAGGGTGCCAGACACCTGAGCACCAAAGAAGGAAAAGTGCTGAACCTCAGGAGGCACAAGAAAAGCCAGAAGTGCCAACTGTGTGACAACTTGAGGCCAACTTGAAGTGCCTCTTTGTGAGATATAGAAAACCTGGTCTGAGATCCAAAGGTCAATACAGGATCAATTTTAAGCTAGAAGGATGATGGAGTAAGGTTCTAATTTTTTTTTTTTTTTAATATAAATGAAAGGTGGAGTTACAAAGAGGGAGAGACAGATCTTCCATCCACGGTTCACTTCCCGGATGGCTGCAATGGCTGGAGCCATGCCAGGCTAAAACCGGCAACCTGGAACTCAGTCCAGGTCTCGCACATGGGTGACAGGGGCCCAAGTACTTGGACCATCTCCTGCTACTTTCCCAAGTTCATTAGCAGGGAGCTGGATTGGGAGGGGTAGCCAGGACTCTTAATCTGCTGTACTATGCCACCAGCCCTGAACTTGCTAACTTCAAGGTCTGTTTCTATTCCAGAATATTGTGGACTTTGTTACTCTGTGGCGTACATGTATTCATTCCTTCCTTCAGCAGACACCACATACAGAGTGCTACCTTTATGCCAGGCAGTGCTCAGACCCGGGACTACAGCAGTGAACAGGTCCTTGGTTCCCATGAGAATCTAGTTAAATGAACACCTAAGTGTTCAGAATCAGCCCTTAAGGCACGTGGATCTGGCTGAAAAGCCCATGAGAGTATTTCAGGCATGGAAAGCCAAGACACTCTGGCAAAAAACAAACAAACAAACAAACAAACACCTAAATGAAAGATCTCCGCGAGTGAGATCCCAGTGGAAAGAACAGGTCTTCAAAAAAGGAGGTACCTTTCTCTGAAGGGAGGAAAGAACTTCTACTTTAACTACGACCTTGTCTAAATATGATCAGAGTCAGTGAACTCAAAAGGCTTCCATAGCCTTGGCAACTCATGACAAGAGCCTAGGGTGATTACTGAAGCCATAAACATGAGTGTCAAATTGTTAAGTCAACAACAGGAGTCACTGTGCACTTACTCCTCATGTAGGATCTCTGTCCTTAATGTGCTGTACATTGTGATTTAATGCTATAACGAGTACTCAAACAGTATTTTTCACTTTGTGTTTCTATGTGGGTACAAACTGTTGAAATCTACTTAATATATGCTAAACTGATCTTCTGTATATAAAGAGAATTGAAAATGAATCTTGATGTGAATGGAAGGGGAGAGGGAGAGGGAAAGGGGAGGGTTGCGGGTGGGAGGGAAGTTATGGGGGGAAGCCATTGTAATCCATAAATCGTACTTTGGAAATTTATATTCATTAAATAAAAGTTAAAAAAATAAATAAAACATTTTTAAAAATTAAATGGTAAAAAAATAAAATGAACACCTAAGTAGGCAGATGCGATGAGTACTCTGAAGGGAGCTAAGACAGGGCCGTCTGGGGAGAGTGGTCAGGGTGGGCCACTGAGTAGACAGCGGGGAAAGGGGCAGGGTGTAAGGGGCTGGGAGAAGAGGCTGCAGGCACAGGAACAGCCTGTGTGAACAACCAGTCACTGGGAGCTCATCACTCCCTGTCAGGCCAGGGGAGCGCACCAGTCTGTAGGGTAGGCTTGTGTGGAAACAGAACCAGTGCTCTAGCTAAAATAAGAACAGATGGCAGCCAGCGCTGTGGTGTAGTAGGTTAAGCATCTGCCAGCATCCCATATGGGCGCCATTTCGAGTCCCAGCTGGTCCAGTTCTGATCCCACTTCCTGCGATGGCCAGGGAAAGCAGTCCCTGGGCCCCTGGACCTGTGTGGGAGACCCAGAAGAAGCTCTTAGCTCCTGGCTTCAGATCATTCAGTTCCAACCGTTGTGGCCATTTGGGGAGTGAACCAGTGGATGGAAGACCTTTCTCTCTGTCCCACTCTCTATAACTCTGCCTCTCAGGTAAATAAATAAATCTTAAAGAAATTTAGAACAGATGTTAAAATGGAACTATATATTATGCAGGGTGGGTGAATGGACTGATCATAATTTTATTTGAGTAAATTTAATACATATCAGGTTTATATTCTGAATAGAAATCTGTATAACCTAATTAATGCAAATACTGTTATTTTCGCAAGTTTACATTATTAGAAGTACATATTTATGAGCACATTACTTCAAAGTTCAATGACATGATACTAAGGAGTAAGCCCTTCCTCCCTCTCTCAGGTACTCAAGTTCATCGGCACCAGAAAATCTGGGATGTTTATCAGATGAGTAAAGGACCAGGTAATATTTTCCATTTTAGGTGGATATTTTAATTGGATGTTTCCATTTTAATTCAGTATTCATATTTGCTATTTTGGGTTTTTAAAAATAAATAGCAGTATGTTCTTCAGTCAATTGTCTTTCAAAGAAAATGGTTATTTCTGATTCATCTATGGAAAATTTCAGAGGTCCTTGTAGCGTTTAAATGAGTCTGTCGTTATTGCTGCAGGTTTACACAAAATACCTGGCTCCAGGGTTCCTGGCAAATGTGTTTATTGAAGACATAGTTTACGTAATTTTTCTTCTCATCCTGACAGGTGAAGACCTCGACCTGTTTGATATAGAACAGTTCAAAAGTTCATTTAAGAAAATTCTTCAGAGAGCACTAAGAAATGTAAGAACAAAATTCATCCAAATTTAATGACGTCTTGGCACTTAAAATCTGCTACGCTTGGTTTTTTTTTTTTTTTTTTTTGTAACAATTTCAATCAGTAATATTCCATACCATTCTTCTCCATGTCAAAGGCAAACTCTGAACATTTTAGAAACTTCCCTGTCCTTTCAGGGCCCGAGAGGCTTCTTTCCTAGGAGCGGCAGCACCCAGGAGCACTCTGTGCAGTGACAGGAGTGTCTGCGTCAGCCTTGTCTGGAAGGCCAGCTGCTGTCCACGTGCAGCTGCTGAGCACTGTGGATGTGGCTGGTGTGGTGGAGCAGCGGCATCGCTAATCCTGTTGAACTTCAGTGAGCTGAAGTGAGATGGTCCTGTGCAGCTGGTGGTGCTGGTGACGATCAGCGCAGCTCTTGAGCAGCCTGATCTTCCGGGTGCTTTTGTGTTTGTAGAAGCTCTCCAGAAGAAGGCCTCCTTCCATTCAAGCTCTTTGGCACCTCATGTGGGCCAAGCTCTGTGCTGCTCCCTCGAGAAAGACAGCTCCGCACCTCTGCACCCTCCCCTGGGAGGATTCCTTGTCTGTAGCACCCAGGGCATTTGGAAAAGTAGCTGGATAGTGGGTAGAGCCACCAACCTGCTTTTCCTAGAATGAGCTCTGTGAGGGAGGAGCTAAAGAGATGTCGGCAAGCCAAGTGCACCTGTCTCAAGTTCCTCCTTTCCATCGTTAGAGCTCCAAGAGGAAGCTCCATGGAAGGTGAGCTGACAATCTGGGTGCAGGCTGCTAAATGACACTCTAGCTGTCAAACATTTGCAGATGTAGAAAGGCTGTATTATGAAATGCTTGAAGTTTGTATTCCTTAAATAAAAGGTTTCTTGGGGGGAAAAATTAAAATAAAAAATAAAAAAACAACAAAAACTAAGGCCTACATATTGTCCTTGAAGTGAAAGCCAAGTATAACTTCCTAGATTCTCACCAAATAACATTCCTTTAGCTTTGAGCTAAGTGCACAGAAGGGTTAGGATTAGTACATTTGTGAGCCCGTTATTGAAGCTTTATGGTTCATGCTAGGTCTATGCTACTTGCTAGGAAGGCTTCATTAGAAAACAGATACTAGGGGCCGATGGAGAAAGCCACCGCCTGCAGGGTTGGTATCTCACATGGGCACCAGTTTGAGTCCTGGCTGTTCCACTTCCAATACAGCTCTGCTATGGCCTGGGAAAGCAGTAGAAGATGGCCCAAGTCCTTGGGCCCCTATACCCACGTGGGAGACCTGGAAGAAGCTCCAGCCTCCTGGTTCCAGATTAGCCCAGCTCTGGCTGTTGTGGCCATCTGGGGAGTGAACCAGTAGAAGGAAGATTTTCTCTCTCTCTCTCTCTCTTTCTCTCTCTCTTTCTCTCTTTCTCTTTCTCCAGTAGAAGGAAGACCTCTCTCTCTCTCTGCCTCTGTAACTCTGCCTTTCAAATAAATAAATGTATTTTAAAAATGAAAAGATATTAGGTAAGGCTGCTTTCCTTCATAAACTTTACATGTAGGGAAACATGGTTTTCCGGACAAGCCCGAGAAATTACTGAAAGTGTTGATTTCATAACTTGATTGTAGCTGTGTTTTTATTCTTTTTGTTTCTTTTTTTATTGGGACCGGCCGAGTGGACAGTGAGAGAGAGACAGAGAGAAAGGTCTTCCTTTGCCGTTGGTTCACCCTCCAATGGCCGCCGCGGCTGGCGCGCCTGCGGTTTGGTGCACCGCGCTGATCCGATGGCAGGAGCCAGGAGCCAGGTGCTTTTCCTGGTCTCCCATGGGGTGCAGGGCCCAAGCACCTGGGCCATCCTCCACTGCACTCCCTGGCCACAGCAGAGAGCTGGCCTGGAAGAGGGGCAACCGGGACAGAATCTGGCGCCCCGACCGGGACTAGAACCCGGTGTGCTGGGGCCGTAGGGGGGGAATTAGCTAGGGGGGCGGGGGGCGGGCCTTTATTGTAGCTTTTTAAAAAAATTTCCTGACACCTGTGTTGTGGTGCAGCGGGTTAAGCCAGTGCTTACAGTGCCAGCATCCCTTATTGGAGTGCGTGTTCAAGTCCCATCTGCTCTGCTTCTAATCCCACTCCTTATTTATGCTCCTTGGAAGGCAGCAGTCGATGGTCCAGTTGATGGTCCACGTGGGAGACTGGAATGGAGTTCCTGACTCCTGGCTTTGGTCTGGCCCAGCCCCAGCCATGGTGGCCATTAGGGGAGTGAACCAGCAGATAGGAGATCTCTCCTTGTGTGTCTGTGGCTTTCCTCTCTCTATTACTCTGCCTTTCAAATTAATAAAGTTTTTTTAAATAATAATTCCTTCGGGACAGGGGTGGGCATTGTGGCCCAGTGGGTTGGACTGTCACTTGGGATGTTTATAGTGAGCTCCAGTTCTGATCCATCTCTCTGCTGATGTGTCTGAGAAGGCAACAGAGGATGGCCGGAGTACCTGAGTTCTTGGCCACCTCATGGAGACCTGGATGGAGTTCCAGGCTCCTGACTTCAGCCTGGCCCAGCCCCAGCTGTTGCAGGCATTTAGGGAGTGAGCCAGTGGAAGGAAGATCTTTCTCTGTCACTCTGCCTTTCAAATAAATAAGTAAATTTATTTTTCAAAAAATATTTCTTTATAAAAGACTGTGCACGGCGTGTACCTTTCTCTCTAAAAATCAGTTATTTTCCCAAAGAGTCCCAAAACCCTGTCATGAAAAGCAGGAGAAAAGACTACTGGATCGCAGTCTGCCCAGGAGATTCTAGTGACATCGTTTGCCTGTAAAAGCAGCTGCAGCTGGTGGCACAATGAGATTTTTGTGAGAAAGCTCAAATCTTCTTTTCAATAAGGTGACGGTCAGCTTCAGAGATGCCGAGGAGAATGCAGTCTGGATCCGAATTGCCTGGGGAACGCAGTACACTAAGCCAAACCAGTACAAGCCTACTTACGTGGTGTACTACTCCCACACTCCCTATGCCTTCACTTCTTCCTCCAGGCTCAAGAGCAATATCCCCCTGCTGGGTCAGGTATGGAACAATTATTATCGGTTGTAATATTTTCTTATCCTTGTCTTAAAAGTGTTTGTAGTTTACTCAATAAGCATTTGATGTAGAGACCAATTTAATTCTCATCTGAAAGAAAAAGAGCAGAGTGGTCTTACCCACAAGTGGGAGTGTGGTCTAAGATACTAGCTTGGAGCTATGTTTTATTGTCTTAATCTAGGAGTAATAAGTGCTTAATGTGAAAAGTGCAGTGAATGCATAAGTCTCTAAGAATAAAAAGTTAGTCTTTAAAACTTCATATCTTTGTCCCTATCCCATCCACCCAAAAAAATGCCATTTGCTTTCAGGAGTTGTTTGATTGCAAAAACTGGGTTGGTGCGTGTGTTTCTATAATTTGCTTTAACTTAACAGAATGTCTCCATGTGGTTCCATATAATGTTGTTTGTGATTGTGTATTTTCCTATAATGACCGTTATTTTTATTTGTAACTGTTTTCCCTGTGTACTGTATACAAGAAGACTGCTTTAACCTAAGATACAGCTTCTCTTCTGCTTATGGTTCTGCCTTGGGTGTTACAGGCTTCCTAGCATCTTTCCCCAAAATAAGCCAGCCCTCAAGTGGCCTGGTGACTGTTGCTTCCCCTCGTAGCATTCACAGCTACAGTGGCACCTGCAGTTGATACCACTTCAGATGGTTGTAGGTGAGCAGATGTACCCTGGCTGTGCCCACCCGTGTCTGGTAGAACTGGGTGAAGCATCTTGCACTCCCGAGTGGTGGACTAAGCAAGCCAGCGTCCCACTGGGTGTACTTGCTTGTCATTTAAGTTGTTTTTCTGAAATGGCAGAAGACTGCTCTTTTCTCTTTGCCTTTAACACTTCTGTACATTTGGGGTCACTTGCTCTGTGGTGCGTAGTGGTCATTCATCCAGGCACACTGTCACAGGTGGTTAAACCTTACCTCAGAGGCTAATGTTCACTTCGGTTGGATATCCTAAGGCAAGCGCACCTCTTCCCTTTAGTTCCAAGTAAATACCTTGTTCTGCTGTTCTGTTCCAGTCTTCTAACTTGTTTTCCAAATGACAGGCAGCTTTTATAAATTGCATTTAATTCATACTATTTTCTCTGTTGCCCTGAAGCATCCATATTTTCATTGTTGTGTGGCAGTATCATTGTAGTATTAGGTGACTGGTATTCTACAATGCTAACTTGAGTATGTATTTCTAGTCTGAGCTTGATTTTGTTATACTCCTAACTTTAAACAGAATCCCTTTTCTAAAAATGGTACAAAGGACTATTTATGAGACTTAATGACAGTAACGGGTATTTTAATTTTTAAATTAACACGCCAGGAAATTAAATTTTTTGGATTTCCTTGCACTCTTAAGTGGGAGCTACTCACCAGTTGCAGCTCCTACATTTTATTTTGACAACTGTTAGAAACTCAGGGACAGTAATCCTAATAGTCTCACATACTTTTACTTGAAGGCCCTGACAGTCGCTAGCAAACACCATCAGATTGTGAAGATGGACCTGAGAAGCAGATACCTAGACTCTCTGAAGGCTATTGTTTTCAAGCAGTATAATCAGGTAAGCCTGCGACTGTGAAGATGAGCCTTCGGTTTCTCTTCTGCACAGGAGTTAGAAGGCGCTGGACAAGCAGGTAGGAAAGTCCACCCCAACAAGAGGAGATGAATTTAGATGTTACTGAATTGGAGAAAGCTTCCATTAGTTAACATGAAAGGAAGCAAAATAATTTCTCACCGTCATCTTTTTATAATTTTATAAAATAGCTTTATACTGCTCATGGGTCTTTGGAGTCTGGGTTATATAGATCCAAGTTTCTAAATCAGAAGTTCTAGTTGGGATTTGTTTGCTGTTTAGATTAACTTGATATCATCCTTTGAACTTAAATACATATAAGACAGGGGCCAGCGCCATGGCTCACTTGGTTAATCCTCCGCCTATGGCACTGGCATCCCATATGGGTGCTAGGCTCTAGTCCTGGTTGCTCCTTTTCCAGTCCAGCTCTCTGCTGTGCCCCAGGAGGGCAGTGGAAGATGGCCCAAGTGCTTGGGCCCCTGCACCCACATGGGAGACCAGGAAGAAGCACCTGGCTCCTGGCTTTGGATCGGTGCAGCACCGGCTGTAGCGGCTATTTGGGGGGGGTGAACCAATGGAAGGAAGACCTTTCTCTCTGTCTCTCTCTCTCACTGTCTATAACTCTACCTGTCAAATAATATATATATATATATTTATATATAAGACAGAAGTATGGTTCATTTTTTGTCCCATTAGTCAAGCAGTTGATATAGAGATTGGAATGAAAAGGAGAAAGCATTGGTCTAAGTCCCGCAGTTTATTTGTAATACTTAATTTTTTGTTCCCCGTTAATGATAAAATGAATCTACCTTTAATAGGCTCAGGGTCTTTTTCCGATGCATGACGAATGTCTGTTCTTGCTCTGTGTATATCTTTGAGTCCTCAGAGATGTTATACTTAAGTTTTTTGTTTGTTGTAAGTGGAAGGAAGTGATACCTCTCTACAAGTTACTCTAAAGAAAAAAATCTAACATTAAGAAGTTAGAGCCGGCGCCGCGGCTCACTAGGCTAATCCTCTGCCTTGCAGCGCCGGCACATCGGGTTCTAGTCCCGGTCGGGGCGCCGGATTCTGTCCCGGTTGCCCCTCTTCCAGGCCAGCTCTCTGCTGTGGCCAGGAAGTGCAGTGGAGGATGGCCCGAGTGCTTGGGCCCTGCACCCCATGGGAGACCAGGAGAAGTACCCGGCTCCTGCCATCGGATCAGTGCGGTGCGCCGGCCGTAGCATGCTGGCCGCGGCGGCCATTGAAGGGTAAACCAACGGCAAAGGAAGACCTTTCTCTCTGTCTCTCTCTCACTGTCCACTCCACCTGTCAAAAAAAAAAAAAGAAGAAGAAGAAGTTAGAGGGGCCGGCACTGTGGCCTAGTGGGTTAACACCCTGGCCTGAAGTGCTGGCAGCCCATATGGGCACCAGTTTGGGTCCTGGCTGCTCCACTTCTAATCCAGCTCTCTGCTATGGCATGGGAAAGCAGTACAAGATGGCCCAAGTCCTTGGGCCCCTGCACCCGCGTGGGAGACCTGGGGGAAGCTCCTAGCTCCTGGCTCCTGGCTCCTGGCTTCGGATCGGCGCAGCTGCGGCCGTTGCAGCCAATTGGGGATTGGGCCAGCGGATGGAAGACCTCTCTCTCTGCCTCTCCCCTTCTCTCTCTGTGTGACTCTGACTTTCAAATAAAATAAATAAATATTAAAAAAAATAGTTTGAGAATGGTTTTCTCCTCCCCACACCTTCTCACCAAATAGAAACCGTTCTGCTACAATATAAGGGTTGTGTCCATTGTCAAGCAGCTAATTATAAAAACCAGTGGCTCTAGCAGGGCACAGAAGAGGTTTGAGAGACTCCCATTTAGAGTCAGAGAACTTTTCCACAAGGAATCTTGGTGAGAATTTTAGGTTCTGAGCTGGAGCTGTAAAGCTGAGACAGCACATTGCAGAAATTGCCTTTGATCACTCTAGGTTTTGTGCTCACTACCTGTACTTCTTACAGATCTGCCTTCATTTTTAAAAAGAAAAGGATTCATTTTATTTGAAAGGCAGAGTTACAGAAAGAAAGATCTTCCATCCACTGGTTCACTCTTGAAATGACCACAATGACTGGGGCTGGGCTAGGCCAAAGCCAGGAATGAGGACCTTCTTCCGGGTCTCCCATGTGGGTGGCAGGAGACCAAGTACTGGGCAAGTACTTGTGCCATCTTCCGCTGCTTTCCTAGGCCATCAGGAGGGAGCTGCAGAACTGTCTTTATAACTAAGGTCAGAGTTGTTCAAATATGGGACATTCCCTTGTCAACCTTGTGTGCTTGGGAAAGGCTCATTTCAGCCAGGATGTGACCCTAAATATCCTTTTGTTGGAAAAAAGAAAGATATGGCATATACTTTAATGTACTAAAATCAATTAGTATCTGCATTTCAAGGTGTTAAAATTAGTAAAACATTCAGTTGTTTGTTTTTTTTTTCCCTAGAACTTTGAAATCCACAACCCTACAGCACCTCTACAGGAAAGGAGCGTTGGGCTGGACATAAACAGTATGTGTGTCTCAAGACAAAACTGAAGTTGGGAAGTGCATCACTTTTAGAGTTCTGTCACTCAGTAGAATGCATACACAGTAAAATTCTGATTCAAAACTATTGACTGCTTTCAGAAAAAAAAGTTAAATATCTGAAGGGGGAAGTTAGGCAACTATAAGTCTACTTTAGACTTTTCTAGAGTAGCATGTAACAACAACAACAAAGCTAGCTAATAGATGTTGAGCATTTTTCTAGTGCCGAGCATCACAATAATTGTTTTTTTTTTTTTTTTAAGATTTATTTATTTAATTGAAAGAGTTACACAGAGAGAGGAAAGAGAGGGAGAGAGAGAGGTCTTCCATCCAATGATTCACTCCCCAATTGGCTGCAGTGACGGAGCTGTGCCGATCTGAAGCCAGGAGCTTCCTCCGGATCTCCCATGCAGGTGCAGGGGCCCAGGGACTTGGGCCACCTTCCACTGCTACCCCAGGCCATAGCAGAGAGCTGGATGGGAAGTGGAGCAGCCAGGTCTCGAACCAGCGCCCATATGGGATGCCAGCACTGTAGGCCAGGGTGTTAACCCACTGCGCCACAGCGCCAGCCCACTAATTGGTTTTTATGTATTATTTCCATAATCTTCACAGCAGTTCCATGAATTAGCACTGTTCAGCAGAAAAGTGAGTTTCAGAGAGGTTTGGCAACTCTACACAAAGTAAAACAGCTAGAAAGTGGCATAGCCAGATTTAAAATCTGGGCAGTCTCTTAATGCATTGAATCAATTACTCTCTAGAATCATCAGAATTATAACCACGTTACTACTCAAAGGTGACTTGATGTTCTCCCTGGAAAACCCAAAATAATAGACTATTAGACTACTATAATGGATCAGAAAAGAGGTAGGGTGTAATATAAATTTATAAAAAATGAAAACTTCGCTGTCTCTTAACGGAGATTTGGCAATAAAAGGAAATGGCACAGCTGTTACAAGCCAAACATTTTTATAACTTTCGAATGGCATAAGAACAGCTGTTAATTTCATGTTGAAAAGGCAGGATACAAAGTTGTATATTTTGTAATTCCAGTTTAAAAAATACATAAAAGCATATGTATGCATCATTACTCACTGTAGTAAGAACCAGATGGAAACACATTAAAATGTTAACAATGCTTATTGCTGGCTGGTAGAATTATGGTTCCCTTCTATTTTCTCTGTATCAGCCTGTTCTTTATAACTTTTCTATAATAAGAAATCATTGCAATCAAAAGAAGAAACATTAGATGTTATTTTTTAATTAAACAAAAATTGTGAAAAGTTAGAAATAAAAAGAGGATACTTTAAGGATGAAATATATTCCCAATGGCTGCTTCATGTGAAATCTTCCACCTGTAGCAGATTCAAGGATCATTCATGAAAATGCAGTAGAAAAAGACAAAGTACAGAGAATAACTCAAGAAACTTTTGGAGACTACCCTCAACCACGACTAGAATTTGCACAGTATAAGGTAGGATGTTGACTAAATTTCACCTACAAGTTATTGTTGTTTTATGATAGGAACAAAAACCTTAAGTGGAAAACAGGTCTAAGAGACTATTCTCTTTTCATTTATCACTTCAGTTTTGGAAGGCAGCTATGCTCACCACTACACCACAAACGCCTACCCAATCACTTCAATTTCATAATCGATTTGTGAGTTAAATAGATCTCTTTATTATATTGATAAGTTCCCCTGTTGGCAAAGAAGACCTGTTGAAATTTTGAGTTTGCCTTTTCATTTCATCTCACATATCAACTCAGTTGTATATAATTGGGTGTGATCTGTTGTACATTCTACCTCTCTAGCTCATCTATACCTAGAACAGTAGTTTGCACATAGTAGGTGCTCATAAACCCTTGTTTAGTAAAAAAGTCATCATGTAATCTGGTTGACATCATATAGAAAAAAACCAGTAGTCCCAACAATACTCCAACCTTAGCTGGTTTTTGAAGTGTGCCACTAGCCTCCAGGAAGTCCAGATAACAGGCTTCAGGTATATAATGCAAGCCATTGTTACTCACAGAAGAACTTGAAGTTTGTGCCATGATCAGCCTAATCCGAGTCCATGCTCACAACTTGTAACCTGCTCTTGCCTCCTAACCCTCCAATAAAATTCATGTTGGCTGGTCTTCCTGAAGCTACAGCACTGATCTGCTTTCTTAGACCCCAAGCCTGTTTGGTTTGATTCCTTTGTAGTGGGAGAAGTTGAGTGACACCACTAAAGCTGCAGTCCCTTAATGGCAGGTTTTAACTCAGTCCTTTTAAACAGCTCATAATCCAGAACAGTGGTTCTTAAAGCGTGGTCCTTGGACTAGCAATATCAGCTGCGCTTGGAAATGGGTAAGAAACGCTGATTCTTGGCTGCCCTGGTACCCTGATCTGTTTTCACAAGCCCTCTAGTGGTGCACACCAAAGCTAGACAGATGCTGACCTAGGCTGCAGGAGATTTGATTCACAAAACTTCCCTTTCCACACATCTTAGAGTGGCCCCATTGTGTAAGCTAAAGTACACATTTATTCATGCTGGTACTAATTTTTCCCTACCTTTTCTATTTTGAAGAAGGTCAAACTTGGAGAAAACTTGCAAAAGTATTACAGTGAACATCCAAAAGAAACACCAGTTTTTCCTAATGTATGGTCATGCTACCGGGGTTCAGTTTTGAAGAGAGTCCTTTTGAGTCTCTTAGGTACATACTGAAATGTGTACAGAAAGAATGCTGTGTGTCTTGGATTTGCTTTAAAACAACCCAGTGGGGGTGGGTGGTTGGAAATGGAGGTGGGATAACTGATGAAACAAGAATGACAATGAAATGCAGAATCTGACTTCACCATCCTTCACCAGTCTGATATATTTAATAGTAATTTGTCAATCTTTTTGTTGACAGCTCGAAACAAAGTTCAAAAGTGACTTAAATGGGGGCATCCTGGCTGACAGGGAAGAACCACTGAGGTGCCTGATAAAGTTCTCCAGCCCACATCTTTTGGAAGCTTTGAAATCCTTAGCACCAGCCGGTGAGTGGTCAGCTTATTTTACAAACTAGAAAAATCAGCAACTGCCTCTGAGCTTTCCTGTCACTCCAGCGTGCCACCCCATTGTGCCCTTTTTTGCATATTCATGCACTTTTTGCACATTCTGCTTCTGCTCTTTCATGGGAGGCAAAACCATGATCCACCCTCTAATCTTGGTCATTTTTAATTAACTCCAATCCTTTGCCCTGTGATTGTTTTAATTTTTTTTCTTTCTTTTTTTTTTTTTTTTTAAATTTCAGGAATTGCAGATGCACCACTCTCTCCACTGCTCACTTGCATACCCAGCAGGGGAATGAATTATTTTAAAATTAGAGACAAATAAGATCCATGTGGTTTTGTAAGTGCAGCAGCTCCCTGACTGCACATAGTACCTACGTATTTGTTAATGGCTATTTGGAGAGCTTCTTTCCATGAATTTGTACAGCTTCTTTCTATGAATTTGTGTTTTATAAATTAATTATTGATATTAAAAGTTTAGAAACCTTCACATAATTGTTGGGACTGTTTCCTCACCGCCATGTTCTGTGAGGGATAGCAGCTGTGGGCATTTGAGATTCCACAGGATATCGATGGCTCCAGACCTGACCCCGAGTACCAGCATGCTCTGAGTCAGGCAGGAGGCACGGTGGTGGAGCCTGCTGGCAGTGTCCAGTGTCCTTTCTCCCACTCCGGCCTCTTCTCTATCCTGGGCATGTCTGGTTTCAAATACCAGTGTCCAGATTTTCTTATGGGCCTTGAATCACATAAATAAACACCAAGAAACTACACCTGACTAAACTTCTGGGAGAATCATAGTCTGTTCAGAGGGGAGAGTTGGGCCCATGAAGTTGTTATTGCAAGAGGCTGTTTATCTGATAATTGAGTTATATAAAATCATTGTTTTGTTGTAAATATAACTTTTCATAATTTTATTATGTGTAACGTTCAAACTGACCATTATACTCATTTGTGAATAAAGATATTAAAAACTTATTATATCTGTTTCTGTTGGTGAAAATCCTTTGTTGATCATCACTAAATAGCATATCCTTTTATCATGACATTTAAAAGTTGGTTCCCTCTGCTACGCCAGAGAGGATTTGGGGTTATAAAAAAATGGATTCTCTCTCTGCCTCTCAAATAAACAAATAAATCTTTTAAAAAAGATAGGTTACAGTTAAAACAGTAAAAAGTGAAGAAGTAATTTGCACTGATGGGAAATCAAAAAAAGAAATAAAAGAACCAAATGAAGCTAGGAATAGGATTACTGGTAAGAATGTACCAGGAGCGCGGGCATTTGGCCTAGCAGTTGTCAGATTAGACAGTTGCGTTCCATATGAAATGCCTGGATTCAGTATTTGGCAGCTGACTCCAGCTTCTTGCTAAGGCAGACACGGAGAAACAGCAGTGATGGCTTAAGTTCCTTCACTCCCGTGTGGACAACCTGGATTGAGCTTCTGGCTCCTGACTTCTGTCTCCAACTGTTGGCATTTGGAAAGTGAACCAGCAGATGGAAGCTGTCTATTTCTGCCTCTAACAAAATAAAATCAATTTTAAAAATGTACAAGTGCCTCTCTAGTTGATAGAAGATGAAAAAATGTTACATGGCATTTTTCGTGGCCAAAGCAGAGAAAACAATTTGTGAATTAAAAGATATTTAAAAACTGTACATCAGTTACTTTTGATGAAAATCAAAAAGAGCTTTAACATACAGAATATCTAAGTACAGTCTGAAAAAAGAGGGCAAAACAATGTTTTATAATGCCATCATTAGTGTCTACAAGTTGTAGGTGATCGTAGGTGAAACATCGTATGTTTTTAGATGTATAATTTACAAATGTCACAGGTATGTCAGTTATCCCAGAATGAGTGAGGCACTGACACGTTAATGGCTTGATGCTAATTTCCTTTTGACCACAGTCACAGTTTAGGGCATCTTTCCCCATGTGCACACACTTAGAAAGTATTCTGCTCAGAATGTGAATACCTGCTTCGGGTCTGCAGAGAGGCCCTGCAGGTTCCTGTTGCTTGGAAGGAATGTACAACTGGAGCCAGAAAAAGAAAGACACTGGTCTTATTATCCAGCCTATGATGGTACCACTTGTGGCGCCCGAGACAAAGGCTCCTGCTTAAAGAGACAGAGAATAGTTGAGGGCTCACAGAACACTTGTTAGTGACTTGATGGTCACATTCAAGTGCAGCTTGGGAACAGAAGCAGCAATAAAAGCAGAGTTAAGGACCTCACAGTCAAAGCATTGTGCATGAAATGACCGCTTATGATGCCCCTATCCCACACTGGAGTATGTGGGTCGAGATCTGGTCCTTTGCTTCTAGTCCAGCTTCCTGCTAGCGTGCATCCTGGGAGGCAGCAGGTGATGGCTCAAGTACTTGGGTCCCTGCCACCCATGGAGAAGACCCAGGTGGAATTCCAGGCTCCTACCTTCACCCTGGCCCAGCCCTGACTGCTGTAGGCATTTGGGTAGTAAGCCAGTGAGTGGAAGATCTCTTTGTTTCTGCCTTTCAAGTATAGATAAATAAAGACATACATTTAAAAAAAAAAGAATTTACTGCATGTACAGTAAGGTCTCCAAGAATACATAATAGTTAATGTTTATTGAGCATTTACTATGTGGCTGGTACCATGCTAGATATTTCATCTGCATTCTCTTGTTTTTCTAACAATGTTATTAGCATTACTTGGGTGTGTGTGTTGTTCTACTTTGTTTTGTTTTACTGAATACCAAGGCTTAGGCTAGTAAGTGGCTAAGCCAAATTAATCCCAGGCAGACCCATTAGGTATATTTTGTGTGGCCCACAGTACTTTTTAAATCAGAATTGGCTCCTGTGGTAGGCACAGTAACTCCCACCCCCAACAAATATGTCCATATCATAACCCGCGGGACTTGTAACCCAAGGATCCTCAAGAGTGGAGAGGAGAGAGGGCAGAGGGAGGCGTGACTGCTGGAGAAATCAGTAATGGGATGAGACCGTCTCAGCTCGCTGTTACTGATCCTGGAGATAAAGGCGTAAGCCAGGGGATGCAGGCAGCTTCTAGAAGCAAAGGAGAAAGGGAATGCATGCTCCTTTTCTATACGAAGAGGCGGAATTTACAGCACACGCCTGCTGGGTTGTTTTGAAGAGGAAATGAGATAGTGGACTGTGTCCCCCTGGAGCCTGGTCCATGGCAAGTGTTCAATAAATACAGAAATCAGTGTACTATTTCTTACTCATGAAAACTGGGACTGTTTCTAATCTTTGAGAAGTAAAGTTTCTGAACGCATTGCTTTTTTCTTCTATCCATCTATTGCCTGGAGCCAATTTCCCAGAAATGCAAGGAATGGATGGATGGAGACCAGTATCTTCCACCTGTTCTCACCTGGAGGCTGCTCCCGTCAAAATGCGCTCTCGGCGGCCTGCAGGGGGCGCTGCGGCCGCCCGGCCGGCCGGATGCTAATGAGCCAGGCGGCCCCGCCCCCTGCCGGAAGTGGCTGCTACACTGCGAGGGGACTCCGAGTCCGCTGCCGTGTGGGGTCCTTATTATTACTACCACCGCCAGCCCGGGGAAGGAAATGAGTTTCCTCCCTGCTGCAGGCCAGCACGGAGCGGCGGCTACGATTATTTAGTATCTTCGTTCTGCTGGAGACATAAAAACGATTACAATAGACCATGTAATACTATTCAAAGTATCATCACAAAAACGAAAAGTAAAACTAGGTTAAGAAACTAATGATACCAAGCAGAAATATAGAGTCAGATGTAAAATGTCTACAAGCATGACGATTGCTGACAGATGTGCGTGTGCGCAATTTGACGAAGGTGTGATAGAAAGGATGTATTCGCAGATAGAACGAGATGTAGCGTGGCTCAGCGCCTGTGCAGAATAAGAGCAGATACGAGTCATAACGAATCATTTCCTGACAAGACTATGACTAACAGGGAAGACGTACAGATGTACTGATGAAGTGATACTAACGATCAGACGGCCTATTGAACCAATACATGACTTAGATGTAAGAAGCTTACGGACTATGACTGCGACTGACCATCAATAATGCAAGCACCGTAAACAGTATATCGTACGAGAACGGGATGTTACGCATTGCGAGCTGGATGCTTCGCAATCGTCATTT